GTTGATAAAGAAGAGACCATTGTGGCAAAGTTGCGTACCGCAACTGGAGAAGATAATCAAGTTCTCGGAAAAGCAACGTGCGAAATCGTAATTGGAAAGGCAGCCGTGTTTTTATAGTGGCAAATATCGTCGACGAAGTCATAATTGGAGTAGTTTTTCTAGCGAAACGAGGAATAGAAAATGACATGAAGAATAGGGTTATACAAATATGGAAGTGCCACTTATGTTCGGTTACGATAATAAGTACAACGTTGGACGAGTGATGACAACAGAGAACCAGCAGATTTCACCAAAATCAGAAGCAGTTATTTGGGCAGAAATAGATGGAGAATATGGGCCAAACAAGTGATGTATTGTTGAGGCCACAAAAGAATCTACACCAAACTTACTTGTAGGCAAAACCCTGGCTATGACAAGACAAGATAAACGTGTTCCAGTAAGAGTACATAATGAGTGCAAGCTACCAATCAACTCTCCAAAGGAGCTATGAGATTCTGTGTGGACTATAGAAGGTTGAATGATGTAACGAAGAAAGACAGTTATCCAATACTCGTTATCAGGTACAAAATGTTTATCAACACTTGATTTGAAAAGTGGTTACTGACAAGTGGAGGTAAACGAAGAAGACAGAGAAAATACGGCTTTCAGCGTTGGAGATGGTCTATGGTCTTACCGTCCATTACACTGGGAGAGCCCTTTGGATTATGTAACTCTCCTGCTACCTTCGACTTATGGACCAGGTATTAAAAGAATTACACTGGAAGACCTGTTTGGTATACCTCGACGATATAATCGTGTTGGGTAAAAGCTGAACACCTTAAGAACTTGGTTTTCCACCGGATAGTTAGCGCTGGTCTAAAGCTGAGTCCAAGAAAGTGTTCCCTTTTTAAAAAGGAAGTAAGCTACTTAGGACACAAAGTAACAACGGAGGGCATTTGCACAGCTAATGAAAAGATCGAGGCAGTAAAAGATTGGCCCACTCCTAAAAATTTACATGAATTGCGGAGTTTCCTTGGACTATGTACTTATTATAGACGATTCGCAGTAGGAGGCGTTCTATCACAAGTCATTGATGGGCATGAGAAAGTGGTTGCGTATTACAGCCAGACCATGAGCAGGCCAGAGAGAAATTATTGTGTTACTCGGAGGGAATTACTGGCGTTGGTGAAGTGCATCAAACATTTTCATAAGTACCTTTATGGCCAGCGATTTCGGGTGAGGACAGATCATGCAGCATTAAAAGGGTTTCTACAATTCAGGAACCCAGAAGGACAGTTGGCACGGTGGATTGAGAGACTTCAAAGTTACGACTTCTTTATAGAACATCGCAAAGGTAGTAGTCATGGAAATGCCGATGCCATGTCCTCCCGTCCATGTAATCTGGAATGCAGACGTTGCTCGAAAGCTGAGGCCAAAGAAGACATTATAGATGTCAGATTAATGACTATAACATCAGACTGGGATCCGAAAGAGCTACGGAAATGTCAGCAAGAAGATCCAGATTTGAAAAGTGTAATACATGGATTGCAGATGAATAAACGTCCAACAAAAAAAGAAATAGCTGCAGAAAGCTCAGTTGCAAAGGTTTATTGGGCACAATGGAATAGTTTGAAGTTAGTGTCTGGCTGCTTGTATCGCGTCTGGGAAAGCGAAGATGGTCCAAGTTTCCGAGCTCCGATGATTGTTCCGAAAATAAGAATTCCCGAAGTTCTCAATGAGCTGCACAACGGTCCAACTGGAGGACACATGGGTATCACTAAAACCTTGGAGAAATTAAAACAAAGATTTTATTGGATTGCTTTGCTGCTAAAGGGCCGAGGTCCAGGAGTCATGGTCAGATGAAGCAGTACAATTCAGGTGTGGCGTTTGAGCGAGTAGCCATGGATGTAGCTGGCCCATTTCCTATCAGTAAATTAGGAAACAGATATGTTTTGGTAGTCATGGACTATTTCAGCAAATGGCCAGAGGTATACGCAATTCCTAACCAAGAGGCAGGAACAGTAGCGGATGTATTCATCAACAATTGGGTATCGAGATATGTTGTTTCAAAAGAATTAAATTCTGACCAAGGGAGAAATTTTGAATCAGCTCTAATACAGGAGATATGCCACAAACTGGGTATCCGGAAAACCTGTACAACTGCACTATATCCGTAGTGCGATGGCATGGTGGAACGATTCAATCGAACTTTGGAAGAACATTTGAGGAAAGTTGTGGACAAGTATCAAAAAGATTGGGATACCCATATATCCTTGTTCCTGATGGCTTATCGGTCTGCTGTACATGAAACAATGGGGCAGACTGCAGGAAGGGTAATTTTTGGTAATGATCTTCGACTCCCAATTGATTTTAAATTTGGAATTAACGCCAACGGAGGAAGGAATTCAATAGCATCCTAGAAGACGAGATGAGGGATATACATGCTATGGTGAGACAGCGCACCAAAATTATGAGCGATAAGATGAAAGCAAAATACGACAAGGCAATAAACTCTGAGGGTTTTATTGAAGGCGATTGGGTATTGTTATATAGCCCACAACGAAAGAAAGGGTTATCTCCCAAATTACAGTGTAATTGGGAAGGACCATAACAGGTTATTAAACGACTTAACGATGTAGTGTATCGCAAAGACCATGGGAAGACCAAAGAATAAAATGAAGGTGGCTCATCTGGAACGGCTTGCAGCGTTTGGTACCGCAAATATGTCTAATCAGGATGATCAGACTTAGGTGGAGGACAGTGTAGCGAAAACGAATACCAGAACAAATCATAATCAACGATAAGCTGCCAGAAGCAATTAGACAACGAATTCGTAGTTGCCAGAATGTTCTAGTAGCGAACTTTTGTTAAAGATTTACTATATAAGGGCTGCCGGATTGTGCAGCATACTAATCTTCTAATTAGAGTGTTGCCGTGTAAAGAACAATTAAGCTATAAGCATTAAGTTGTAACCTCGAATATCGAGCAATAAGTGTTAAGTTGTTGGAATTAGAAATAAAGATAAGTATATAGCCATTAAATTGGGACTTTTATTTAACAATCCAGTGATCGAACTCAAGAGTGAGTTATAGTTAGATGAATTATCGAGAAATCCGTTACAATATCTATGTAAATATGGTCACTAATTGGTTCATGCGAAATGTTTATGTATGAGGATGCATATATTATATATCGCCGCAGATTTTGCGGAACATGGAAAATTATTTTAGAATTGCAAAATTTTGAAATCGACAAAAGCTTTTTTGCCATTTTTGTCGCTTTTTTCTGTGTTTGCGAGTTTGCTGGGTTGATATTTTTCCCTTCCAGAAGGAACATTAGAAAGTTGTTCAATTTATGATTTTTAGCTGTTGCCATCGTCGCAAAAAGACGCTTGTAGGCAAACGCATGTTCGGGGAGTAGACCTAAAATTTCTGTATCAAGTGTTTTATATATGAATAAACAAAGTGTATTTGTTAATGAAGAAAACGATGAAAAATGAGTGAAAGAAAATGAGTGAGTAGTCAATATGCATGCATTTTATTAAGCTATTGCATAGATTTTACCGCGGGCTTTGAGTGCGGCGGCCGAATCAAGAAATGCCGTAACGGAAATAAACCTAACACGATCACAAAGTATGCGTAAAATGTTTGCAGTTGTAGGCGTATTTTTGCATATCTCAAGCTGAACAAGTCAATTGAAGAGCAGGGTGATTCAAAAATAATAATATTTAAGATACACTTTTTTAAATGGCAAATAAAAATATAGAATTTACTAAAATATTTAAGTAGTAAAAAATAATTTATTCAATATTTAGAGTCATAATATTAGTAACATTTTTATTATTTTGGTAAATAGCTATCCCACCTTTTGGAACAGTATTTCGTTTGACTTGAAAAATACAATTGAAATTAGGTATTTCAATCGGATTATCAATGGTAATAAATATAATATCAGAGCGGTTGACAACTTTTCCTTCAGAAAAGTTTAATTTGGAAATGAATAATGATCCACAAGAATCCACAAAAAAATATGGGACTACCATTGACGCGCTATTTTCTAGATATTTCGATATTCAAGTCTCAAACTTTTGTTTCTTATTTCAGTTACCATAAACTTATAGTTTCAATGATAAAAATTTCTGAATATTGTAAGATAATAAAAATATTTTCAACAATATTAACTTCTAATTATTCAATAAAAGAAAAAAAATTGTTTTCTTATCTATCACTACGCTCAAAACAATAATTAATATAAAAAAAAAAATACTGCATAAAAAAAAAATAATTATAATTGTATAAGTTGAAAACTTGGTTTTTTATAGTACAAAACGACGACTTTGGAACTCCATATTTCGCAGATATGGCCTTTGCTGAAAGCTCCTTGCTGGAATCGTCCAAAATCTTAAGTTTATTTTCAATGATAAACGCCTTGTATTTGACATTGCTTTTTCTAAACGAAATGAAATGGAATCAACCTCATGAAAAAAGTATATTGAATTGACTGAATTACGTTAAATTTAAAGTCAATGGAAACTTGAAAAAAGTTAATTTATATTTTTGCAGATGTTGTACCACATTTAAACTACCTTTGTTTTTGCAGATAATGCGAAGTTCAAGATACAAATATTGCAGAGTTCGCAAAATCGATAATCAAAATTCTTTGCGTTCAAAATATAGAAACATCAATACGTTAATTTTAATGGTTCCTTAAACCGAAAATTCAATATTTCGAAAGTTCGCTATACTGAACGACCACTGTGTGTAAAACATATTGTTATTTAAATTAAAAACCAACAACGACATACCAAGCAAATACTCGTAGCATATCCATTTAAATTCTCGTTAAAGAAAAAAATAGGGATTTTTCGCCAGTTCAAAAAGGCTACAAATCTGGCTTCTGCATCAAAAGTGAGAGTTCGAAAAAGCATCTCTGTCATAGTTGTTGCGCAAAACTGAAATTTGAAACAAAACGTCGAAAAGAAAGTTGCACCCACATTTTCACAGAAAGCGACCGTGATTAGGTAAAATGTCATTGCAAGTGATTTAATCTAAATATAATTTTAATATTAACGTTTTATTACATTTGTGGCTTTTTTTAAATTTCATAGGGTAGACGAAAAAGAGATTACTTTTTTAATAATCCGGGCTTATAAGATGGATTGGTTTGAGCCCTGGGCTGGTGCACGTGGTATCCTGTCATCTGAGTATGCAGGCATGACACCCTGCAGAAATGGCCGATGGGTTAATGCCAAGGCTGCCTCCGTTCCGTTAAAACCCTGGTAGGGCTCGTTGTACGTTCCCCTCTCGTCGTCATTGAATTGGTGTGGTAGGTGTAGGTTGAAATGACTCGATCTTTGTGCTGGTCGGCTCTGAACGCATTGCTTCATAAGGGCGTCAACCTTCGCCTTGGTCTAGTAACTGAGATAACCTTGGGACCATATAAGGCCCCTACCTTTCCGGGAGGTGAATAGCGGCTCTCAGCAGGGTCCCTAGAAACATGAATAATAATAATGACTAAAATTTAAATAAAGAGAAAGTAGGTCGAACCAGATCTCGATGAAACTGAACGATCTCTCGGGAGCGACACCATCAGTATGTGTGAAGACAATACCGAGGGAGCATGGCTTACCGTCGCTAAGGACGGTAAGTTAGGGAGAGTCGGTAGGAATTTGCCGACAAAAACTGAAGGATCGCTTGTGAGTAGAGGAACCTCTGCTAGGTCTATAGGGAGGCGGTAGCCAGGGTGGGGAACGTATGGAAAGGAGCAAGGCTCGAGGCCGTGGCCAAATAGGGTCTACCAATGCGACTTCGTGCTCGTGTTTGGCTGTCAACCTTCCACCCCGGTTGAAATTGGAGAGATGTTGCGTTATTGCAGCCTCTCTCTTCCCACCCAACACTGGGTGCTTATGAGCCTGGAGAGGATCAGAAACAAGCTTAACATTTTTCTTGCAGAACCTAATGAAAATATGCCAATTTGGACCTAAATTGCAGGAAGCTTCGCTGATGAGCTTGTTGAGGTTTTCAGCTCTGTGAGTAAGACTACTCTTGAAAGATTCTGTCCTCTGACAACTCATAAAGGTAAAGGGAAATTTCTTTTTCTTGGACATCGGAGCTAACGGAGGTCAGATCTTCGAGCACAAGAATCTTCAACAAAGCCCAAGCCAAAGTGACTCTAGTGACGATTGGGAGCTGTATAAAGCAGAACTGGACCTACCTTGTGGTTGGACTATGAATAGCAATTAGTCGTTCAAACTACTCCTGAATGCTCAGATTCCGTTGAATCGCTCCGCTGAGGAAGTGCCACTGGGGGAGATTCGAAGGGCTGTACAGCCTTTTTGGACCTTTTGGATAAACTTCGCCTTACCTGGGCTCTGAATTCATTCAAACCGTTCAAGTTCCCGGGCTCTTATAGTATCATATCGTCCCAACTGCAGCGGAGGTGTTATGTAGCTGGCCCCCATCTACGTAAAATTTATTAGATTAGACCGAAGGCCTGGAGACTAGTTAAGGTTACGTTTATACCGAAGGCCGGAAGAGCTCTTACGTACGGGCGCAAAGGATTTCAGACCCATTAGCATATCCTCGTTTCTGTTGAAAACGTTGAAGAGACTCTTGCAAAAGGAATTTACTGTTGGCACTTTTCTCAACATCGAGGGGCCTTCAACAATATGTGGCCGGAGACAGTGGGTAGCCCTGGAAAAGTTTGTGCTAGAATCGAACCTCAAACACCTCATATATAGCCTTCTCTGCGATAAAACGATCAGTGGGGTAGTGCAAAGGCATCCCGAAAAGTTAGTTAGAGAAGGGTACTTTCCCCATAGCTTTGGATCTTGCTGGTTAACGACCTATTAAGGAATTCGAGGGACAAGGCTGTCAGGTGATAGACTACGCTAACGACGTTTTTCTTATGGTTAAAGGAAAATTTCCGTCTACAAGTTACCTAAAGGGTGCGTCAACTGGGTATCCAACTGGATGCATAGAAGCGGCTTAGCCGTCTACCTAAGTTAAACAGAAAAGGTTTTATATACTAGTAGGTATAAGATCCTAAACGGGCCTCCCCCTCCTTCGGAGGTTCACGTCTTTAACCTGTTAATAAGGTGAAATACCTAAGGTTTATTCTGGAAATAAAGCTTTCACGGCGGCAAAATATTGAGAAGAGTGTAAAAAAGGCATCGGTTGGGGACTCTCACCAAAGGTAGTGTTTTGGCTGCACGAAACCGAAGTGAAGCCTATAATTTTCTATGATGTATTCGTCTGTTTGTGACCAAAAAGCGGCTCTCATCGCCATCTCCGGTGCACTACGGACTACAATAGTCAATCTTAGCGTTAGGCTACATTACCACTGCAGTGTTTTTCAGGCAGAAGTGGCTGCCATCGAGGTGGCGGTAGACTTACTGCTACGAAGTGGTGCCTTTTTTAGGGAGGTGAATATTCACTACTACAGCAGAGCGGGAATACTAGCGCTGAGCTCGCCAACTGTGCGCTCAAAGCTAGTCAAGGAGTGTCTATCCTCACCAAAAACAGCATCAAGCTACTTTATCGCTGGCAACTTCAAAGCCGATGAGCTAGCCAGAGGGGTCACCTTTGCATCGTTCATCCCGTAATAGGAGCGATTTGAATCTCCATTGGCATTTTGCTTTCTAGACCTAGATCAATGGACCTCGGGAGCGCTTAGCAGGCGCTGGTCGACTACGAGATCCTTCTGATCAAAGTTCATCTTGCCGGAATCGTAGGTGTTGTTACTACAAGTAGAGACAGTCCAATATACGTTCATGTGGTACGGCAAATCTTGTCGGACGCTAGTTGTCAAAGTCTGGTTCGGCAAATCAGAAAATATAGCTGAAACTTACATTAGCCGTAGCAACAAATTTGTGATAGGCTTTGTCGATCTCTAATATCCAATAATATGAGTTTGTTCACATACATAATAAGTTTTCGACGCGAAGCCAAGCAAAATGTTGGGCAACTCTCATCATTTTACGCTTTACCATGCGACAGTCGCCATTTTTATTAGAGAACAATACTGCGCTTCGTTGTTTCAGTATGAATTGTCATGTAAAGCGAGGAAAGTTGTATGTGAAAGAACCATATAGGTCTTATGATCCAGTATATAGGATTTTTTTTAGGTACCACAACGGCGTTCTAAGCTTTCCAAGTGAGATCCCTCTTAGGATATGCCTAACCTAACACGATTACTTCCCTTTTTTTATCTTTCTAATGGAAATCGATAATTTTCGCTCACCAACTCGTCAGTCTCTCACTGATTAATAATGAATATTTCGCATATTTTTATGTTTGAAAATCAAATTTTCAAATGCCCAGTTTTCAACAGTTTCATGCAAGGGGGGGTCGGTTGTTTCAAAACTACCGGAAGATTTAAATTTGCAGCTTTTATGTAGTAAAGTGTTGACAACTCTAAAAAAAAAAAAGGGGTATTGTTTATTTTGCTTTCATGAACATATACGTATACTTTCAGCGCACGTCTTGCTCGCTGTGTAGTCAGCAACTGGCACTGGCACTTTGATCCTTTCTAAGGTATAATAACGGTCGTAAGTGTGTCTGAAACACATGAATACTCAGAGCGTGCATAGAGAGTGGCCGCGGGCAATGAGCTGCCAATGACCACTTTACATCTATGAAAGTAATCAGAGAATAGAGATATTTAAAGTGTTTTTGGACTATCGGATATATTAGTTGTCGATTATCAACTATTTCTCAAGGGAGAGAGCAAGAGAGACAATGTTTTGCAATAGATTGTATTTCAAGCATTAAAAAGGAGTGTATACTATTTGTTTTGAGGAGAGAAACGAACAAGTATTTCTAGTGCATTAATATTGTCTTAATGATTTCAAATACACTTGTGCAGTAGTTGAATACCTATTATAAGGAAAATTAAGTGAACCTTTAATCTTGGCCATGCTTTAGTTTGTTGCTCAGCCCCCTTGAACTAAATATGTATGTGTAACCATTGACTTAATGCAGGATACATTGAGTGATATACGAGTTATTCTTATACAAGTGCGTAAAAACACGTTCTCAAGCATACTTTAAAGTAAGGCTCAATGTAAATGCAATCAGTCCAAACTTCCCTCTGACCTTATTATAGTGATTTTCGACTATCAGGTAAATTTTTTACCGTTAAGTTAAGTGTCATATTTTGGTGAAATCAAATGTATATGCTTTCCTAAATACTATGTGATTTAGTATTAAATGTAAATGAAATCGGTCGCGACCAACGGTCCCCATACCATATTTGACCTACACCTGAAAATATTTCCCGATCTTTTAGTTACGCAAATTACTAGAGTATAAAATGTTTAGCTTCACCCGAACTTAACCCTTTCTTACTTGTGCTTATTGACATTTGGATTAAAATTATTATAGGTATTGCCCTTACATTCATCAACAAATAGATCCACAGAACTTTTAAGAAAAGAAGAGTTGATGACTAGGTACTACTTATCAGGTGGTCATAATAGAAAAAATGTGTTTTGTTGTAAAATAAAACGCACAAAGATTCAAAAATTTACAAATAAGTTGTATAATAGTGATAAAGTAGACATACCTTGCGGTATAACTCGAATTTCCAAACGACCATTTACACAGTTTTCGTTTAGTGCCAATTTGTTATTAAAAGTGCCACTACCGCCAGCGCCTGGACGATTTTCACAGTTATTGCAGGCATCCGTTGTCGATTTCAAAGATTCACAGTATTCAATGGATAAAGGAACTATTGTCCTTTGAACGCTGTCTGCTTCCATTCGCCAAGGTATGACTTTAAAATCAAGTGGCTGAAAAACATCTTTCAATACCGATGCTCTCTGGTTGTCACGAAAAAACACATTCGGCAAACTATTATACATTCCATCTTCTTCCCTTTCAATTACATTTTCATAACAAGTCGTTTCGCCTTTTTTTGGTCTCGCAGATTGGGATTTATCCAACATGGAAACAACCGCTGTTATAGTGTCACGTACACAAACATTTCTACTTATATCCATACGAAAGACCTAGAAATTAAAGTTGAATTAAGGGAAAAAATGTTATTATTCTCATAAAAATTATACATACATATATATATATAGAAAAGCGGGGGCTTGGTCGGTTGTTTCAAAGTAAACGGAAGATTTAGATTTGAAGTCATTATGAAGTAAAGAGTTGAACACCCTAAAAAAAATCGACAGCCGACAGTTTTGGCTTAGTAAACATGAACATTATTTCAACAAGTAAGGAAGGGCTAAGTTCGGATGTAACCGAACATTTTATACTCTCACAAAGTAAAATAGTATACTCGTTTGAGATTTCTTTGTGGATTGACTGATATTTTCGGTAGAAGGTCAACTATAGGCACTGGGGTCCACATATTTGGTACTTAGGGGCTTAAACAGTTTTGGTTCGATTTCGACAATTTTTAGCCACAAGGTGGCATACTTTAATCGCATTATTCACGCAAAGTTTTATCCCGATACAGTCATTGTTGCCTGATTTGCATAGTGGAAAGTGAAAGAATCAGATGAAATTTAAAATGGTGTGATATGGGAAGTAGGCGTGGTTGTAGTCCGCACTATGACATAGAAACATGAAAAGAACGTTATGCACCGAATTTGGTTGAAATCTTTAACAAAATATTTTAAGATTTCAAAACACTTACAAGTCTCAAAAAACCTAAGCATGAACCTTATTTCTTTTTTATACACTCTATAAATAAATATTTTTTGATCATTTTTTAGGAAGTCAGTAAACATTTGCTGGGAATTCCAACCAAAATATGTATATACGTAGACAATTAGTACTGCTAAGCAAAACAATACTCTGCGACAAAATACCCGATCTTTCTTAAAAACAAAACTATATTAAAACTCTTTAAAAAAAGATTAGAAATATATGTAAAAGTCACCAAAAAATTGTGATCTCACAAATTACCCACTGATTTCGCATTTTATTTCTGCGGAATTCTTATGAATACAATGAACTACCACTCATTGTTTGGCTTGTCATCTGTTCAGTAGCTCATGAACTCGCTTCTTTGGCAGCACTGAAAGTTCATGAGCTCTCTCAGAAGGCAAAGAGAGGAGTTTCAGATCATTTTATCTATGCTGCAATCAGAAGTCAAGCTGAGTGGGTGTAAGCGGAAGAATTTTTATTATGTACACAAGAATCATAGAAGAAGAAGCATAGAACAGCATGTAAAAACGTAAAGACTTTCATATCCTTTTTTCGGTCCATGGGTTTTGGATAACCTGTAAATCCTCCGTGGTTTTTCATTAGTTTTCCAATTCTATTCGGCATGGATTGAATTAATTTTTTGGCAGGTTCCTAATGGGGTAGCATCCCAAAGTTTATGGACAACTTATAGACAAAATAATAGGTGTACATAGTTTTTATTTAATAACTTTTAAGAATTTGCATTTAAAACAGTTTTGTTTTAGACATATTTACGCTTTACTTTATTAAAAATAGGTTGGCAGAAATCCCCCACTGAACCCTCCCCGAGGGTGCCGACTGGTAATAGATTCCACAGATTCACGACGTAAGCTTGGACGAGCTTGCAACAGTCCGCCCCTGCTGTAGACGTGAGGAATCTAGCTAAGGTCAGACTTCTTATCTGTGTGTTCGATGTTCCTCAATAGCACAGCATACAGATAGGGAGCCTTACCATGGTCGGGGGTACTATAAAGGGCTGTATCAAGGTGTCATGCGACCCGTTCCGAGAATCAACCTGACTGGGGGCCCTTAAATATCCCAGCCTCGAACGGAGCTTACGGATACCTGGCGCCCTCCGTAATATGATAGCCTTACTTGCGCAGCGGGGGCTATGCGTAAGCGGACACACTTTCCCCCACACTCGTGGGACCAATTATGAACAGAAATACAACTAAAATATATGAAAACAAAACCAAAAATAGGAGAGAGCCTGGATGTCCACAAAAAAGCCGGAGAGGGCCAGTTGCTCCCAAAAAAGAGCAGCGTTTGGAGCGAGCTCGGCAACTTTAAGCAAGAGGACAGAAGCGAAGCTTAGCCCCAGGATAAGGCAAGCGCAATAAAAGGGGCAGAAGCTAAAGCTGGTCCCAAGAAAGCAGTAGCGCCGGAGGCAGCCATACCCAAACCATGTAGCCAAAACACGACAGCAAAATAGGGGTAGGGGGGAGATGCCAAAGGGGCTGCTGCTGGAAGTGCATCTGCCAGAGAGTGGCCTGTTTTTAACATTCAGGACCCGGCAAAGGCGAAGTATGCGGAGAGATGACGCGCCGCATACCTACTAAGATTAGTAGAGTTAAAGCCGCCAACGAAAGAGGGGCTTACGAAGGAGCTCCAAACATCGATTAACTGCGCGAGAGCAGTCTTGCTAATTTGAAGCTGGAGCCGCCAGTAAAGGCAGCCAAGCGACAAAGGTCAGCTGATACAAAGGGTGTAACGCCCGCAAAATCATTTGCAGAGATGGCCCGGAACCGAATTGTCATTGGCGTTCTGGATGAAGGAGATCCCGAAGGAAAAATTCCCAGAGCCCAATGGAAATGGGTGCAGGCTCTGCTGACAAATGTGGCGCTGGAAGTGCTACTAAGCAATCCGGGTCCGCCACCGTCATGAACAGATGCCGGCTAAACCGGGGCAAAATTGGTAGCAGTGGACAAAAAGGACATACCGTCCAGACCAAGGGCAGGGGTATGGATTTTGGCTACACCATAACAGCCGGACCAGATTATGCAGCTATGAGCTGAGCAACCCGAGCCTGCCCACGGAAAGGCGGAAGTACGTCCAGACATTTGAAGACAGCGTAGCTGAATCTGGCGTGAAGACCAAAAGTGCCAAGATGCAGATCCTGCTGTTATTAACGAAAGAATCTATCGAACCGCTGGCGAAAAGTGGCGGGGAGATAAACTATGGATTCACGAAAGTGAGGATAACGCCCTACAAGTCGGACGCCGATGCTGCAGACCATCTGGCATCGGAGAAAGAGATATGCGAAGTGGAGGAAGATCCTATGGAGTCCTCGAGCGACGCGGAAGGTATAAAGCAAGGTAAGTGTTCTTCTTCCGGGTCTGAGCTTGCTGCCAGACTCTCAAACTTGTATACTGAGAGAGAGCTTTTAAGTGACTCTCCGGAAGACGCAGATATAACAATAGTTAATGCGTCTTCTACAAATTAATCCTTATCACAGTAAACTAGCTTCAGCAGACCTAATTAGCCGCGTGTCAATGGAACAGCCTGAATTTGTCCTCATTCAGGAGCCATGTGTTAATGGAGGGCGTATTTGCGGACTGAGGACACCGAGCTATAAGTTATTTATGGCCAATTGTAAAGGTAGAATCAGAGCCTGCATAATGGCAAAGAAAAACTTTAACGTTTTCATATTACATAATTACAGCAACAACGACACAGCAGCAGTAAGCTGGGAAACGGGCACAAGCAGTGTCGTGCTATATGCCATACGAGGAAGAGCTGGTGCCACCGCTGATGGTAAAAGAGGTGGTACGAGATAGCGTGGCATCCAAGTGCATGACTATACTTGGGTGCGACTCAAACGCGCATCACACAGTTTGGGGCAGCACAAATGTCAATGACAGAGGTGAGTGTCTCTTTAATTACCTACTAGGCACTAAGTTACTGGTGTGTAATAAGGAAAGCACGCCAACGTTTGTTACAAGAAGCCAACAAGAAGTGCTGGATATCACACTTGTGTCGGAAGAACTATTTGACAGGGTAACACAATGGAGGGTTTTCGAAGAACATTCCTTTTCGGATCACCGATATATTGAATGTTCAATAGAGGAAAGGGCCGATAGAGGCATTAGCTTCAGGAATCATATGAAAAGAACTGGCAGGTGCACATGCAAGAGCTGGAAAAACGTATCCTTAGGATTCTACCGTTTCAGCCGAATAGTAAGGAGGATCTCGATATGCTCGTTAATCGACGCACGGATTCTTGCCGGCAAGCATTAGAAGTGGCTTGTCCAATAGCTCGAAGTCGGAGTAGAATTAGGCCCCCCTGGTGGTCCTTAGAACTTAAAAAGCTACAGAAAGAATGCAGAAAGCAGTTCAATTTAGCTAAGCAATCCCAAGGCGAGTCAGACTGGGAATATTATTACAACCTCCTTAGGTCATACAAAAAGGAAGTTAGGAGAGCAAAAAAAAATTTTTGGAAATCTTTTTGTAATGATACCGAGATCACGGCGGAAGCATCTCGGCTTAGGAAAATAATGGCACAATCGGTGCACAGTATCGGTTATCTTAAGAAGCCAGACCGCAGTTGGGCGGTATCCAGTGAAAAGTTACTGGGACCACTAATGGATACGCACTTCCCAGGCAGCTCTTAAAGCCATACTGCTGAATATACTTAAGACAGTGGGGCAGAAAAAGACCCCACTCTTATAAATATTGTGTCAGAAAGCAACGTACACTGGGCAAAAAATAGCTATAAGCCGTTCAAGTCGCCGGGGCCAGACAGTCTATTCCCGGCTCAATTACAGCATCCCTTCGCTTTGGAGGGAAGTCAAGGTAATATACATACCAAAGGCAGGCAGCAGACAGCTCGCATGCAAGTCCAAAGGACTTTAGACCAATTAGCCTCTCCTCATTCCTACTAACAACGCTGGAAAGACTAATAGAATTACATATTAGAAACAAACTGAAACCAGAAAAGTTCGCTAGATCGCAGCATGCGTATTCTAAAGGAAAATTCACAGAAACATCGCTAAGCTCTGTGGTTGTGGAGATTAAAAACTCTCAGGAAGAAAGGAATACACTCTATTTGCCTTCTTAGATATAGAAGTAGCCTTCAATAATATCCAGCCTAGGGCCATACTGAGTGAGGATCTGGACATCTCTGAACGCGTGTTATCCCCACTTCTCTGGATCCTGACAATGAATAAGTTGCTGTTGGATCTAGAAAAGAAGGGGGTACATGTTGTGGCCTACGCTGACGATGTGGCAGTATCGGTGAAAGGTAAATTCCCGAATACTCTCGCAAACCTTATGCAAACGATCTTGGACGATATAAATCGGT